ATTATAAAGCACGTATTAATGCCTTATTCTAAAACTACTAGTCCATTAACTAACCTCCTAATTACTGCTTATTCACAGTAAGGATGGTTTTAAATTGTGATCTTAATTTGCTCAGTGTGGGCCGTTTAAGGTGGTATAACCACAAGAATACTCATTCCCCCTTAATCAACACTTGATGTCCATCCTAATTCCTTGTGTAACTGCAAGTGCTTATAGGTGAATGAACGAGACCTTAAATCTGAACTGTGATTCAGTCTGGATGACTGTTATTAGCACATCTATTAGTTATTGACTATTAAACACTTGTAGTTTTGTGTTTTCTGTGTCATTTCTCGCAACATTTTCTTCTTCTGTGGTTTCAGATAAAAGTAGGAAGGACGACAGCATGAAGACCAAACCAGACGTCTACGGTGAGAACCATTACTGCAGCCTGACTGTCAGCAGGACGTCTCTGTTATAGTGGTGGAAGCATCCACGCTTTAGGATTTGTAGTTTTACTGATATTAAGCTGGATTATTGTTGACGACAGAGCTCTGTGTCAGTCTGCTGTTATTCACTGGAGTCAAACGTCAGTATAGTACCAGTAAACACACCTTCTATGTAACTCCACTATGTATCTGAGTGCGGACAGTCGTGGAAGTGGTTTACTGGTTGGCGGAGGAATACGGGCACAGATCCGTGATTCTAGTTCCTTTTTTTTCCAGCTGTGTCCAAACCTGGTGAGGGGGAGGGATTTGTGGACAGCCCTGCCCCCTGTCCTGAAGACTACGCCCAGTTCTGTGAACACGGCCACTGCGAGATGAGACACAACCTGCCCACCTGCAGGTAACGCTGTCTGTCTGTCTGTCTCTTGGTGTTATACTTTAGGAGATTAAAGTTGGTAACAGTGTTAGCAACCAAAGTGAGGACAAAAACATAAAGAAAATATTACATTTTGGAACAACTCCTGTAAATAAATCAGAACTTTTATAGCAGAGTTACAGCTTCTTGTTAGCTAGCGAGGCTGTACTGTTAGCTAAAGTGTGTGTGTGTGTG